GAAAGTGAACCAGAAAGCTATCCAATTGCAGAACGAGGCTATCCAATCGCTGAAAGTGAACCAGAAAGCTATCCAATTGCAGAAAGAGCAATAGGTGATAAACTCTCTGCCACTTTTCCAGTACTCAAGGGTACAGTTGAACTCCTTCAAGAAACCGCTTCTAACGTCACAGCTTCTGGACAATTCACCGCAGGCATCAGTGATACTGTTACTGACAATTATAGTGTGGAGTTGGGTGGCGTTTCAACAACCTTCACTGCATTAGGTATAGTGAACAAACCACCTGGTACTGACCCCTTTAAATACAGTACTATTGGAGTCCTTAGTTTAATAAAAGGTAAAACTATTACGATTAATTACATGGGTAAACCTATCGATAGTGCAGTTATTGGATAATTAATTAATGTCGAACGATAATAAAATTTTCTATTATTTTATTTCATTTCATTATTATTTAATTATTATCTTTATTGTTATTATTGCTTTTAAATTAAGCAAGAATTAGTAACAATAATTTAAATTTTTTAATTAATTAATTTTTTATTTTAATTAATTCCTTTAATTTGATCGATTTTTTAAGTTAATCAATCATGTAGATGCTTAGCAAAACAGCCAGTTTTAATAAATAAACAATAAATTTTTATTGTTGATTTTTAATTTTTATGCCTTGTTGCCAGGTTAGCAAATAATAATTTTAAAACAGATTAATAGTTGTATTATATTATCTTTACATTCCCGGAAATATCGCATATTTGTTTTTTTTGAACAAATATCAGACATAAAATAATAAAAATACACGAATCCCGATAAAACTTATAAATCATCATTCTACCACGATCATATTGGCAAGCAAATCCCGAGTAACAAAAACATAATCCAATTATTTCTAAAATCCCTTCTTGTGCTTATATTAAATGTCCTTTTTCGCAGGTCACGAAATTAATATTTATGTCGAGGCTTTTGGCTTTAGCCATTGACATAACTAAAGCATTGACTAAAGCGATAATTTCTTATCAAGTCCCATTCTGACAATTTGACATGACAATAAGTAGAAGAGGTACTTGACGAGAGTAAAAACATTTGATTAATTGATTTTTGGAAATGGCTCAATTTTTGACTCAAATAGTAAATATACAAGAAAAATAATCTACTTGAACAATAATTAAAATGTAATCTATTTTTGAAGGTGCCTTTCCTGTTTCTATCAATATTTCAATCAAATGATTGTTTATTTTAATTTATGTGAATTACTACGAATGCAAAAAATATTAATGTCTCAAAAAAAAAAAAAAAAAACTGGCAGACCTCCTCCTTTAACCGTTTGGATCATAAGTCAAATGGTCATCATTCAGTACAATGTGAATAAGAAATACTTTTGTGGTCAACCACAAAAACTCTTTGCACATTTAGCTAATGTCATTGTCCAGACAGGATGTACTTCAGAAGTTAGGAGAGATTATCTTAATGAAATTAGTAAGCAATCTTCTTTAGAAGCAGCAACAACTAACTCACAATAATCAGTTACTTTTAATTATTATGAAATCGCATTATTATCAATTGAAAAAAAAATTGAATCAATAAATAGAGCTCTAATCAAAGCCGTTGTGTTTTGTGGTATGTCATTTCCTATTATTGATAATTCATATTTTATCGACTGCATTCAAATGTGATGATAAATTTTAATGTCATTGTCAAGATTCCTATAGGAGGATTGAGAAAACTCTGTTGTGTGTGATCATATTAACGCGAACCTTGAAAGCTGTTCGGTAGATTTTTTCTGCTTTGAGTTTCCTTTGTTGGATTTAAATTTAATCAGAATAGACTTTCGAATCATAGTGTTGGCAGTCACATTCAAAAAAATTTTCTATAGGGTATATAATATATAAATTTTTCTATTATAACAGACGGACAACATCACATCCCGTAAAATCGAAGGCCAATAAAATATTTAGCGAAACAAGTTAAAATTTTTATCAATAATAATAAGATAATCAAGAAATTTGGTCAATGTTGAATCTTTTAGATTAATGATGGCGACATTTTTCATTCTGAACTAATATTAGCACCCAAATGGTCTTCGAAAGTATGTTTTGGTAAATCATTTTTCTAAACAGAAACATCTCACCAATCAACTTTTAATGTTACCTGTCAAAAGCAACAAAAGTTCTAGAAATATCAACATTAATATATATATATATAAATCTAGATTTGTATGTGTAGAATGTTCTAGAAAGTCGTAAATTTATTATAAATAAATAAAAATTTTTTTTTAATTCATCCATTCCATTAATCTATCAAGATGAGTAATTGGAAGAATGTGAATAATTGGTAAGGGGGAGAATTGATTAATTAATTATTTTTTTCCAAAAGATTGATTATATATGCTAATTAATGTTTTTTAATATTTTAAAGGCATTGGCATGTATATTTATTATATAATACTTTGATATATTTAGAACCATTACTTGAATAATAATAATAATAAAATATTATTAGGACAAGTAAAAATTGTATAGATTGGGCTAAAGAATATCTAAAAACAAATCTTGAGAATCTTTCGGTAGAACATGAAGGTGTAATGGTGAAAATTGTATCTGTGACAGAATGTAATGGTGATGCAGAATTGAATCAAAGGAAAGGAAAACTGATTCCGATTTATGATTTGGTGATAGATTTGACATGGTCTGGTATGCTAAATAATATAAATTTTGATGATTAATTGATTGATGATTAAATATATTTCTTTAAAAATTTTTATTCAAATCAAATTTAATATACTTCTCTTGTTTAATAATACATGAATATATTATAGGCACCGGTGTTGATGGAACTGAGATCACTGGGAATATTAAAATTCCTGAACTTTTACAAGGTTCAGAAAGTGACTGTGAGGTATTAAAAAAAAAATATATATATATATATAAAATTAATTTTTTGTTATAGTTTAACTTATTTAATTATTTCATTATTTAGTTTGAAATTACTGTAAATGATGGTGAAAAGGATTCTATTAAACAAGTAATTCGTAAACATTTGACACCTTTGCTTATAGAAAAATTCAAGAATATTGGAAAAGACATGGTAGAAAGTATGTTTGTTTCATTATGTTTATATTCCTTTATTATATTATTATTATAACTTACTATCATGTTATACTTGTAACTTTAGCTCATAGTAAAGACGTTTATATTGAACCATCTCAACTTGGAGCTCCCAATCAAAAACCAATTACACCTAGTGAGCCAATCGCAGTATCAACTCCTACTTCTGAAGCTATCACAACCACCACTTCTTCTTCCAACATTACTACTTCTAAATCGTCATCATCATCGTCGTCATCACCATCAATCCCTTCATCATCAATCAAAACAAAACTTAACACTACCACAATAAATGAAAAGATTGAAATGCAAACTTCAGCAGATCAAATCTATGAAACTCTGCTTGATCCGGGTCGTGTTACTGCTTGGACAAGATCAAGGCCAGACATCTTTAGACTTGTTGGAAGCAAGTTTAGTTTATTTGATGGAAATGTTACAGGCACAATATTAGAATTGGTATGGAGCGGTGGAATGAAATAAATCTTATTAATATTTATTATTTGATATTAATTTTTTTTTTTTAAAATATTTTAATTGAAGGTTCCAAATGAAAAAATAGTTCAAACATGGCGCCTAAGAACTTGGCCCGAAGGTAAATATAAATAACAACAATAATATAATAGTTATATATTTATATTGAATAAATAAATAAATATTATTGGTTATTTTCTATATAAAAAAGATCACTTTTCTACAGTCACGCTTAGATTTGAGCAAACAAGCGACAATACAATGGTTCATCTAACACAAGAAGGAATTCCTATTGGAGAAGTGGATATAGTGCGACGTAATTGGCAAAATTATTATTGGAATTCGATTAAAAGTGTATTCGGGTATGATATTTTCTTAAAAATTAATTCATTTAAATCTTTTTACAATAATCGTAATAATAAAATGATTATGGTGATGGGTAATAATGTGTTTATAGTTGATGCAATGGTTTTTGTATTATCTGATTTATTTGTTTGGGTTATGCATTTTCTTTACATCCTTCCTAAAATATATATAACATATCCATTCTTTTTTTTTTATTTGCAGATTTGGGGCACTTTTATAATGAATTAAATCAATCAATCAATCTTGCTCTTTTGGAAGTTCATGTTTAATCGTCTTACCAAATAAATTCTTCGAAAAAATATCCACATTTTTTTTTTAAATCTGTGATTGAAAGAGTTGTTTGTAATTTTAGAATGTAAAAAAATTTATATACTAGATTTATAAAATTATTATTATTATGATTTGACAATAAATTTTGTTTTTTTATAATTGATGATACCACAAAAACCATCAGAGTTTTGACGACATGAATATTGATCATATCTATTAATAATTTCCACCTATAATCAAATTCTTGATAGTAATAATCAATTGTTATTATTATCACTTACAATCATTCTGCCAACATGCTCTAATTTAAAAAATTCAACTCGATCAAATACAAAAAACAAACTCTATATACATTTTAATGAAGTTATAAAAGAAGATACAACTTATCCACATATTATTTTAATTGCAATCAAATAACTTTAAACTAAAATATAAAGGGGCTAGGAATAGTATTTTTAAAATCTGGATTTTCCCTAACCTCCTGACCTGAAAAAAAAGTTTCCCTGTGATAGATTTCTTGGTTAAATTTATCTTCTGGAAAATTCGAGGCCTTCAACTCCAGTCCTGAATGTCACTCAGTAAATTGCATTACGAATATATAAAATATATGTGTGCGTGTTAATAAATATTGTATAATAGCTACTTTTGGAACATTAATACTAAAAAAATCAATATGAATTATTGAAGAAAATAATATAATATTTTTATAATATATATACCGGTAATCTTTGAATATTCAATATTGTTATTATTTAGCGCAAAATCAAAATTGGTATTAATAAAATGTGGATTATAATAAAAAATTTATTGTTACGCGTTTGATGATAGTTGGTATAATAATCTGTTCTTTGCAAATTATTGATTGGAATTAACAAATAATAAAAGATTATGCTATTATGTGTTTAATAATAAAAAAATAAAAAAAAATGGAATCTTTGTTTACTTCAATATCATTTATAAACAATGTAGCAACAGAGTCAATGATGACGAATTCGAAACATTCAGATTCAAAGCATTCAATTATGAAGGTTCAAAAATAAAATTGTTGGCAAACTTGCAATAAAATACGGTGAAATAAACGCAATCAAAACTGTCTCTGAGTCGTGTCTTGCACTATTACGGACCGTCGATTAAATCCTTAGGTTTTGCAAAATACCACAAAAAGAAACGTGTGTCAAAAAACACAGTTGTTATTAATTTTTTTTAAAATGTCCTTCAATAACTTATATAAATTATTAACACAACCAAGAAAAAAGTTGATACTCAAAATTCATAATGAAATGAGTGGTATTGCTTATTCTGCTTTTCCAGCTGTTCCTGACAGAGAAAATCAAAAAAGTTATTTTTTACAATTAGTCAAAGAAAATAAAAAACTATTAAAAAATGAAAAGGAATATTGTAGAGAAAAGTTTATTTATCATTTCAAATTAGATGATGCAATTTATAAATGGGGCAAACCAAGAGAATGCAATAATTGTAAAACAACAAGATACTCTGATAAATTTTGCGAAAAGTGTATTAGCCTACACTTACAGAGACTTTTCAGCACATGGACATCTGGAAATGAGATGATTGATGGTTTTATTCAAGAATGTCAACAACTTTCATCTCTTCCAGGTCAAATTATAGAATGGGTACCTTATGAGCAATTTTATAAAATAAAAAAATTAACAGAAGGTGGATTCAGTTCTATTTATACTGCTGTGTGGACAAGAGGATATATTGATGATTATGACGAAAATAAAAAGGAGTTTAATTATTTTGGAGCTCAACAAGTAGTATTAAAATCATTAAATAATTCAAGTAATCCAGGAAAACCTTTTTTTGATGAGGTAATTGTTCTTATTTAAAAT